CTAATCAGAAGAAACAAGTGACAAAGTAACCAGCTTAAAAAGACAGAAAAGTATTTAATATGTCCTAGAAAAATTTGATGTTTGTTTAATGGGTAAGTGAAATGTGAACTTAGTGGAATGTCTCCTACCTTGAGAATGAAGATAAATGATTTCTCACTGTATGTAATGCTCAGGCACTCTTTACAAGAAATACTCCAGTTGGGTGTCAGTAACTCTTTTTGCAAACCCTAGTCAGTTCCCCCCAACCATTGCAATGAACTTACATTTAAGACATTTGGGGTTTTTGAGAAGATTTTTATTTCTCTGACCCTACCCCCTAATTCTTTGAACTTGTATTTGCTTGTGGTATATTATGAATAGGAGAATTAGTCTTTTTCTCTTACAAGCAAATTTATTTTTTATTTAAGATTTAGATTTTATACCTTCTGGCTGATATTTGAAAGCATAATCATACTCTTCAGTCACAGTGTATTGTTTGTAATTGGTCCAATTTATCTGATTCAGGTGCATTGTGGCCAGGTATGAAACCTGAAAGTGGTTTAATTCAGACTCCATCTCCAAGTCAACACAGTGTTCTTACCTGCACTACAGGGCTAACCACAAGCCAGCCAAGCCCAGCACATTATTCTTATCCCATTCAAGGTAAATAGGCATGGTTGTGTGTGTGTTTTGAACTTACTGTTTTTTGTTTTTAATCTACCTATATCCAAACAAATTGGGTTATACAGGAGCTCTGACTTTTGAAATAGAATGGGGTGGTATTTGCATTTGTGCATGCATTTTGTGTTAGGCAAACCAGTGCCTGGGCGTGTGGTTTGGTAGTAGTTTAGCCTTTGAATGTGAACTGTTTTGTGGAATTGAAACTTCTTTTGCATGTTGATGTCCATAAAACCTCTCTGATTTTGTTCTAGTTTGTTGGTGGAATTTTGTTCTATAAATGAGCAGAAGACTCCATAGATTAGCACCTTGCTGACTTCTTTTATATGAAGTCCAAATAGAGTAGAATGTGAGTTGGATGCTGCTTTTCTGCTGTGTTTTGTCATATCTTCTCCCCCACCTGTATCTTGGTGACAGTACTGTCCTTCTTCAAAAGCAGTCTTAGTTCTATTTTCTGATTAAAAACAAAAGGTTAAAGGTTGAATTCTAAACATCTTTGCTTTCCTGAGTTC